CCACTGCTTCCCTGCACAGTAACATGTACCCACCCTCTGCTTCCCTGCACAGTAACATGTACCCACCTTCCCACTGCTTCCCTGCACAGTAACATGTACCCACCCTCCCACTGCTTTCCTGCACAGTAACATGTACCCACCCTCCCACTGCTTTCCTGCACAGTAACATGTACCCACCCTCTGCTTCCCTGCACAGTAACATGTACCCACCTTCCCACTGCTTCCCTGCACAGTAACATGTACCCACCTTCCCACTGCTTCCCTGCACAGTAATAACATGTACCTACCTTCCCACTGCTTCCCTGCACAGTAATAACATGTACCTACCTTTCCACTGCTTCCCTGCACTGTATCAACAACCACTTACCCTCCCACTGCTTTCCTGCACAGTAACATGTACCCACCCTCTGCTTCGCTGCACAGTAACATGTACCCACCTTCCCACTGCTTCCCTGCACAGTAATAACATGTACCTACCTTCCCACTGTTTCCCTGCACAGTAATAACATGTACCTACCTTCCCACTGCTTCCCTGTACAGTAATAACATGTACCCACCCTCTGCTTCCCTGCACAGTAACATGTACCCACCTTCCCACACTTCCCTGCACAGTAATAACATGTACCCACCTTCCCACTGCTTCCCTGCACAGTAATAACATGTACCCACCTTCCCACTGCTTCCCTGCACAGTAATAACATGTACCCACCTTCCCACTGCTTCCCTGCACAGTAATAACATGTACCCACCTTCCCACTGCTTCCCTGCACAGTAATAACATGTACCCATGTCCTTGTGTGCTCTTCCATACTATTATAATGTCCCTTTCACATTGTGTTTGTTTATTAAATGACTTTCTGATTCATTGGAATGGCAGGGAGGCCCATTGATAGTTCCTATATCTAATCGAGGCTGAATCCTGGCTGCTAAGACACAAACAGTATATGAAACTGTCAGTAATGTGTGTGCACACTGTGTATACAAGGTTATTATTTCTGCTTATATCCCTGGATCACGAAATATCCCAATTATATACACTTACATATGGACTGAAATTAGCTACAAAATAATTTTTCATTTATTTTTTTGCTGAACTTGGTTTTATGGTGATATATAAGAGCACTTGTCTATAAATCGTGTAATTAGAGGCGATATAGTTTATTTTAACTAGAATTAGATTGTTAGAATATAAAACTATTATAAGGGAGGGTAGTATTCTTTCCCTGCATTTTTAACAATCATTTATATGCTCGTAAATATCTAGCATTTATATAGGGAAATACGTGTTGTATTTTATTTACATGGGGAGAAACGTGTTGTATTTTATTTACATGGGGAGAAACGTAGTGCAATACAGATTTCATTTGCAGAATAATAAATGTAATGATGAATCCTGTCCAGAGGGGGCGCCAAATGCTTAGAAACCCAGCACTCGTCCAATAACTGGCATTTCAGTTGTGGGGAGAGAAAAGAAATGGCTATTCTTTCTCATCACAAAAGATTGAGAATGAATAAGCATTGCATGGTGACCTTGGAGGGATAGCAGCAATGTGTGACCACTGCTTGCTGCTAATTACCTGCTATCTTCAAATAACAAGCCCACCTCTGCTGGGAGGCCATTCCTTGTCATTACAGCTCCACACAGGCAGCTCGCTAAACTTGGCTACATTCAGAGAAATGCTCGGCTTTGCTCCATTTTCCCTTTGAATTTCGTTAGAAAACTCTAAACAGATATTTTTATTGAAGTAAAATAATAGATATTTGTTAGCAGGTCGCTGGGATAATTGTATGAAATTTAATAATATTAATATTTCTGTATTTAATCCTAAATCACTTTCACCGTATTTATTAAATAGGCAGAAATTCGAAACGGTTTATTCACTTCGCTCTGTTTCTGATAAATAAATTGGTTTTATTAATTCCTCCGATGCGGATTTATTTATAAACGTTCTTTCCGTCTGAGATGGTAACAATGTTGCAGAATGTTTACAAATGATTAACTTATTCGGCTTTCTGTTTCCTTCTAATCGTTCTGTTTACTAAAGATTTATGGCTGATGATAACAAGTGATAAATTTGTTTCATTGATTATCTAGAAATATCTGCCTCTGATTTCACTGGCGCTGGACTCAGCTTGCAGTAAATGGTTTTACTTTCAGAGAAAATTATTCTAATAAAAGCTCTAAAACTAAACGATTTTACCAAAGTATCTAAATTCATCAGCTCGAAGCAGAATAGGAGAAATATCACAATGTTATAAAATAATAATATATAATACTAATAATACTAATAATAATCGTAATAATAATATAATAATAATATACTATAATAATAATATATAATAATAATATATAATAATAATAATACTAATAATAATCGTAATAATAATATACTATAATAATAATATATAATAATAATATATAATACTAATAATACTAATAATAATCGTAATAATAATATACTATAATAATAATATATAATAATAATACTAATAATAATCGTAATAATAATATATAATAATAATACTAATAATAATCGTAATAATAATATAATAATAATATACTATAATAATAATATATAATAATAATATATAATAGTAATAATACTAATAATAATCGTAATAATAATATAATAATAATATACTATAATAATAATATATAATAATAATAATAATAATAATAATCATAATAATAATATACTATAATAATTATATAATAATAATATATAATACTAATAATACTAATAATAATCGTAATAATAATATAATAATAATATACTATAATAATAATATAATAATAATATACTATAATAATTATATAATAATAATATATAATACTAATAATACTAATAATAATCGTAATAATAATATAATAATAATATACTATAATAATAATATAATAATAATATACTATAATAATTATATAATAATAATATATAATACTAATAATACTAATAATAATCGTAATAATAATATAATAATAATATACTATAATAATAATATAATAATAATATACTATAATAATTATATAATAATAATATATAATACTAATAATACTAATAATAATCGTAATAATAATATAATAATAATATACTATAATAATAATATATAATAATAATAATAGTAATAATAATATAATAATAATAAGATAATATAATATATACTAATAATAGTAATAATAATATCATAATAATAATATACTATAATAATATATAATAATAGTAATAATAATCGTAATAATATAATAATAATAATAATAATGTAACAATAATACTAATTAATAATAATAATAACAGAAAAGGCCAAAAAAATACAAACTCGGAAAATTAGAACAAAGGGAATTAAAAGCGATTTTAATGATACATTAAATACAAGAATAATTAACTTGTAAAGAAATAAAACAAAAATAAATCTCCAACCACGAAAATCAACAAAAACATTTTTCCAGAAAATATTTTCAAAAAAGAAAGAAATCTATTAAAACCATCTCGCCGCGTTCCCTGCTGTACCGTCAGCGTATTTACCTTCCACTTACATTGCTCTAATAAGAAATATATTTACAGGCAGGCTCACACTAAATGCTCTGCAGGCTCCCACTAAATGCTCTGCAGGCTCCCACTTAATGCTCTGCAGGCTCCCACTAAATGCTCTGCAGGCTCCCACTAAATGCTCTGCAGGCTCCCACTTAATGCTCTGCAGGCTCCCACTAAATGCTCTGCAGGCTCCCACTTAATGCTCTGCAGGCTCTCACTAAATGCTCTGCAGGCTCCCACTTAATGCTCTACAGGCTCTCAGTAAATGCTCTGCAGGCTCCCACTTAATGCTCTACAGGCTCTCAGTAAATGCTCTGCAGGCTCCCACTTAATGCTCTACAGGCTCTCAGTAAATGCTCTGCAGGCTCCCACTTAATGCTCTACAGGCTCTCAGTAAATACTCTGCAGGCTCCCACTAAATGCTTTGCACGCTCTCAGTAAATGCTCTGCAGGCTCCCACTAAATGCTCTGAAATGCTCTGCAGGCTCCCACTAAATGCTCTGCAGGCTCCCACTAAATGCTCTGAAAGGCTCTGCAGGTTCCCACTAAACGCTCTGCAGGCTCTCAGTAAATGCTCTGAAGTGCTCTGCAGGCTCCTACTAAATGCTTTGCAGGCTCCCACTAAATGCTCTGAAATGCTCTGCAGGCTCCCACTATATGCTCTGAAATGCTTTGCAGGCTCCAACTAAATGCTCTGAAATGCTGTGCAGGCTCCCACTTAATGCTCTGCAGGCTCTCAGTAAATACTCTGCAGGCTCCAACTAAATGCTCTGAAATGCTCTGCAGGCTCCCAGTAAATACTCTGCAGGCTCCCAGTAAATACTCTGAAATGCTCTGCAGGCTCCCACTAAATACTCTGCAGGCTCTCAGTAAATACTCTGCAGGCTCCCAGTAAATGCTCTGAAATGCTTTGTAGGCTCCCACTATATACTCTGCAGGCTCCCACTAAATGCTCTGCAGGCTCCCACTAAATGCTCTGCAGGCTCCCACTAAATGCTCTGCAGGCTCCCAGTAAATATTCTGCAGGCTCCCACTAAATGCTCTGCAAGCTCCCAGTAAATACTCTGCAGGCTCCCACTAAATGTTCTGCAGGCTCCG